CATATGCTTAAGGGCTCACATTTAGCCACTGGGGTCACTAGTTAGAAAGGAGATTGAGCAAACCTATGAAAGATCTCTGAACAAATCCCTAATGGATGGTAGCCAGCTAGATGCTTCTGACAATATAGTGGAACTTCATATATTCATATGCAAGAATGAATAATTTTGCATACAAATCTGTGTATGAAAACACTTGGAGAATATGTTGAAGGCAGCAGTTGTTGATAATAGACATTCTGACTGCAAATGGAATCAGCTGAAATTTGATAGGACAGGTGATTTTACCATGGAAACGCATGGTTCTGGAATAGGGTGACCTCTAATTGAGAGAATGGTCCTTTATTTGAAGAGCTCCCCAATCCCAATTAGTGAACCCTAAGAACAGGGGAAGCCTCAAACTCTCCCATCAGCAGCTAGCGCTTGGAGAGCCATCTGAACAGTCACACAGGCCACCTGATAACATTCCTCCTTACCCCACTATGGTGAAACATATTCTATTTCTATTTAAATTGTGGCGATCTCTTCAAAATGTGCATCTATGCATACAAATAAGACATGCAGCTTTAAGACATGCACTACATGGAGATGCTGAGTTATGCAACTGGCACCTCCATTCAATCCCTGCTAGGTCTGAAAGTTTGAACCAGGGCACAGAGTCGAGGAAAGCAGGATCCAGTGAGAAACTTTGACATGTGGGCGGTGTGCTGGTAGTAGGAAGGGAGCAGACAGGTGAGCTTTGGATTCCCCAAAAAGGAAGCCAAAGAGAACAAGGAGGTAGTCTCTCTCTCTCTCTCTCTCTCTCTCTCTCTCTGTGTGTGTGTGTGTGTGCGAGAAAGAGACTATTATTTATTAAATTTGTATACCACCCTTCATCTAAAGAAAACAGGGCAATTCACAACATAAAAATACAAAATAAGAACATATTGTATTAGCAATCTGACCTAATCAGCCAAGCATCTCTAGGGTTATAATCTGAAAAATTTCCTCACCAGTTCATGATGCAGTTCACATTCCATAGTACATTACTACGTATGTTGGAATATTTTGTGCAGAATCATTTTGAGCAAGGATGCATTATTCTGAAAAATAATGAAATATTTTCGCTGAATGCTTTGTTGAGTGCTCATTCTACGGAATACTGGGCTGTCTTTCGTAGCACAGTTTGAATGCACAATTGAATATTTTCCGTTGTACATTCTTGAGCTGCTACTACTACATAGAACATGAGCATATTTCTTAGTTTATTTTCAGCTGCCACACCTGAAAATAACAACATAGCATGGGACTCTCTCCTACTGAAACCTGTAAGATAGGGATTTTTTTTAATGGGTTTGGCTGAATTATTATTTATTACATTTTTATGCAACCTTTGCTTTTCCTTCCATCCTTACAGTGACCCTGTGAAATAGATTAGGCTGAAAAAGAGTGACTGGCTCACGGTCACCCAGTAATCTCCTTGGCTGAATGAAGGTTTGAACCTGAGTCTCCCCAGTTCTACATGCTAACCCCCACTTGTCGTGGTGAGTGGGCTTGCATGTTCCTATGACCCTTGTGAGTGAAGCTATCGGGAATCTCGTACTCCCAGCAGGGTCACCCAGGGCGGTAAGGTCAGAGGGAAGGAGCTAGACAAAGAATAATCCAAGAAGTCCTCAACGGTAGAACAGGCGGATGATAACAAACAGTATGTTACAATGGCTGTGAAGGCCATGATCCTACACTTTGTCGAAGGGAACTCCCCACTGGAGTAGAAATCATATATCAAATAGATGGAAAGCTCTTCAATCTGAGCAGGCTGAAAGCAAAGAGTAAGGTTACCTTAACTTCTGTCATAGAGCTTCATATGCTGATGACAACGTAGTGTGTGCATGCTCAGAGCATGATCTCCAAACCATCCTAAATACCTTTGCAGAAGCTTACGAAAAGCTTGGCCTATCACTCAACATCCAAAAGACCAAAGTGCTGCACCAACAAGTACAAAATAACCCCTCTGCAGTGCCACAAATCCAACTCAATGGGGTAACGTTGGAAAATGTCGATCACTTCTCCTACCTAGGCAGTTATCTTTCCACAAGGGCCAACATTGATGCCGAAATCCAGCATCGCCTGGGCTCTGCGAGTGGGGCTTTCTCTCAATTGAAGTGCAGAGTGTTTGAGGACTGGGACATTCGCAGGGAAACCAAAATGCTTGTTTACAAAGCTATTGTACTACCAACCTCACTATATGCTTGTGAAACATGGACCAATTATAAACGCCATCTCCAACCCCTCGAAAGATTCCATCAACGGTGTCTCTGAAATTTTTTACACTCACTTGGGAAGACAGACGAACTAATATCAGTGTACTGGAAGATGCAAAGATCACCAGTGTTGAAGCAATGATACTTCAACATCAACTTTGTTGGACTGGTCATTTTGTGCGGATGCCTGATGATCATCTTCCAAAGCAACTGCTCTATTCCGAACTTAAAAATGGACATAATGCTGGTGGTCAACAAAAGAGGTTTAAAGACTATCTCATGGCAAATCTAAAAAAATGTAGTATAAACTCTGACAACTGGGAAACACTGGCCTGCGAGCGCTCCAGTTGGAGAACAGCCTTTACCAAAGGTGTCATGGGCTTTGAAGACACCCGAACTCAGGACGCAAGGGAGAAACGTGCTAAGAGGAAGGCATGCTTGGCAAATCCACACCGTGATCAACTCCTGCCCGGAAACCAATGTCCCCACTGTGAAAGGACGTGTGGATCCAGAATTAGCCTCCACAGTCACAGACTCATTGTTAAAACCGTGTTTATGGAAGACAATCTTACTTGGCTACGAGTGATCGCCAAAGAAGACGACGACATGCTAACCACTACACCAAGCACCACTTTGGCTCTGACTCATGTCCCACTGCAACAATCTTAGACTACAGGGTCTCCTCGGACCAAATTAATGCAGCTAATTCAGAAAAAGAGACTTCAGGATTGCATCTTCTAGCTAAAAGAAATAAATATAGTTTTAACTGTATGAGCTAGACTCTTTTATAAACATTGGCTATTCCTGGACTCCCAAGTGGCTAGCTTGGTGAAATAAAATGAAAGCTCTGTTACTTTTAAATAGTAGGTGGAACAATCCAGAAACATTGCTGTTGTAGCAAAACATAACAACACACTTTATTTTCTGGGAATTGCACAAATTTTAAAAAAGAAACATACACTACTGTGGTTCAGTACATGGCTTTGGCAATAAGGCAGAATGCTTGATGGTTGACCAGCCAAGTGAGTCAGGGGCAGAAGGTCATATTTACTGTGGTAGATTTTTTATTTTTATTTTAAATGTGGTTTCTCATCTGATCGGTGCCCCTCCTATTCTCCTTAAAGCAAAAGCCTGAATTTTGATTCCCCTCTTCCAGTGTGAAATTTACATGTGAAGTTTATCCTGTTTTTACACACAAGGGCCCTGATCCAGACATGCTTGTGAGCAGCGTGGTATGCTGCACAGCCATTCTTTGTCCAAAGGTCCCCATTTCTATATTCAGATAGGTGGTGGGGCAAGGAAGCTTGACAACTTGCTGAAAAGTTCTTTCTTTCTTTCTTTCTTTCTTTCTTTCTTTCTTTCTTTCTTTCTTTCTTTCTTTCTTCCTTCCTTCCTTCCTTCCTTCCTTCCTTCCTTCCTTCCTTCCTTCCTTCCTTTCTTTCCTTCCTTCCTTCCTTCCTTCCTTCCTTCCTTCCTTCCTTCCTTCCTTCCTTCCTTCCTCCCCCCCCCGCCTACTGCAGCATTATTGGGAAACATGCCAGAGTCTGGCCTTGCTGTGGCAGCTGAACCTGAGCTCATGGTTTTTTGCTCTCCAAACCCACAAACCCAGGTTCAAACATTGCAATAAGCCAGACTCTGCAGCAGGAGTAGGAGCAGGGCCACTGTGGACCTGTAAACTGATGTTGCCTGCAGTGGCCAGCTCTTCCTCTGCTCTTCCTTCACTAGCCACAAAGGACCTTTACTGCATATTTTCCCCACACTCCTTTGAGTAAAATGGAAACTTTATAATACACTATCATTAAAACCACACAAGTGATTTTTTCTGGATTAGCGAAAAGCAAATACACAAAGGCAACTGCAAGGTATGTATTTACTGGACAAAAATGATCCAAAGCAAAAGACTTTTCCAGGCACAATTTTTATTCACTCGTTTCAAATCTTACATTTGGACCAGCTGTGGATCTACGTTTCTGGGGCCCTGAAGCTAGAACTGCTATGTGGGCCCTTTCACAAGCAGCAATGAGGTCTTGGTAACCACTATTATCTTCTTCAATGGGGCTGTGCCACGACAGATCACCGCTCTTTTACAACATTACAACCCAGTGCTATTTTTTTAGAAAAAGGGGTGCCAGAAGTCACCACGAACTCCTCCCTTGTTCTCTGAGAGGTGTCAGAATTGAGTTTCATCTGAAAAAAAACAAACCTGGTGCTGCTGACTCTCAAACTTTGGGATTGTTGAAATATATACAACTAAAAATTAATCAATACTAGGTCCATTTTTTTAAAGCAATGTGAACTAAAGTTGCTTCTGGGGCCACTCTGGGTTTAGACCCCCTGTTATTACTTTCCTAGCAGATCTGTCCCTCATTTGGACATCTTGTTTGCCATACCAAGAGCGTTCAAAATCCTAGAATTCACATTGATAGGACACATTATATTGATGCTATCTAAATAATGGTGCCTTTCCCCAAACAGTATAGTGATAAGGTACTAAAAATTTGCTCTGCCTTATGTGGAAAGGTTTTACCCAATGGTCTATGATCACGTGAGTCCTGTGGATTGCAGTGCTTTTCCTACATTTCAGGGAATTCACATATAGTTATAAACTAAGTTTAAGCATCTTACACCAAAGATAATTTAAATATGCAGTTGGGTTTGTTTGTTTTTTTAGTCCCAATCACTGTGTTGTTTGTTTTTAAACTATCAGAGATCAATTTAATAATGTGTCCTCCTAATGTTTTTGCTGATTCTGCTTCTTATTAGGTTTTGAAGACATCTCTGGTTACACGTGTACGGACACATGAATCGTATCTCTAAATAGCTCTGATTAGACTGTGTGGAAATGCCTCAGAGATGCCTTCTTCCTTTCCCACAATAACTTTCCAGAAGACAGAACATCTTGCTGTCTGGACACGTTAAACCTTTGGATGAGGTAATATGAAAATTCTTCTACTGCTCTTATTTCCACTTGTGTATGTTTTTCCTGGCTCAGAATCAGTGACCCAGTTATTGTAGCTCCTTAGTTCTTGTACTTCTTCCAAAGTATTTTGTTTATCTTTGAGCCTGCGAGCTCATGTGTGTGCACACACGTTTTTCCTTTCCTGCCCTTTTGCCTCTTCCTCACAGTAGATCTGAGAGGTGTGGGAGGTTGACAGCAATTACCGTACGCTAATGCTGCACTTTGTGCAAAAGAGTGAACTGTGGGAAAGGGCAATGAATGCAAGGAGTGAGGAAACAGGTCCACCAGATATCATGGGCCAATCTCCCTTGCTGTGTTTGGGTCAATATGTGGGAGCTCTTGTACCTAAGACCGAACTTAGGCTTAGGAGGCAGGTAGATTTTAAGGGGTCCCACTACTTCCCCATTTCTCAGACTTGAGATAGACTCAGTGGTGTAGCGTGGGGGTGTATGGGGGCAGTGGTCCCAGGCATGAAATCGTTAGGAGCACAACATTTCAACACCTGGTGCTGTCTCAATACAGCTGTGTGCTTCCATCGCTGGGTTCTGTTAAAAATGGCTTTTCCATGCCAGTCAGGAATTAACGTCCACAGACAAAAGAATGACTCTCCTCCTCCTCCTCCTCCTCCTCCTCCTTCATCATCATCTCTACAGCTGCAATCTCCAGAGTGACACAGACTCTATTTCATACATACCCCCTCCATTTACCTCCCACCCACCCCCAACTCTGTGCAGCCTCGGGTGATGGCAACCCAAGCTACACCACTGGATAGACTTACTGCAGGAAGCATGCACCATCTGGAGAGGATGTTTGAGCTTCTCTGTGACTTCTCCCCAAATTCAATGTTCTGTGTTCCTCTTTTGTGTGGAGTAGGAGGTAGAAGCAATGTGGGCTTTTGTCTCTTTGTGGCATTGGCTGACAACAGAATTAGTAGAAGTCAACTTGTTTATATGCATTCCCATTTGTGTTAACAAATAAGCCCTGTGCATCTAATGGACTCTGAGGACATATCATGTCCACATCTATGCTTATCATTTCTTGAGGTGCACTGACAATATTGTGCAGAAGACAAAGCGATACTTTTGCAGCGATGCCCATTTCCCATAATAATTTTTCAGACTCTTTGCTGGCCTAGCACTTGAAAGCCTGCACTTGAAAGGTTTCTAATAGCCTCTCAGGCACAATTAAAGCTTCTTCTTCTTCTTCTTCTTTAAAGCCTAAGTGGTTTTGGTCCACTGGCTTCAAAGAGCCAGCATGTCCCATCACGTTCTTGCTGATCCGTTGAGAAGGTCCTCTTGATCATGCCACACATCATATGCACCAAATCCATACGCAGACACAATTTTTTACACAAATAAGGAATAACCTTTCTTTGGAGACTTGCAAATATTTGGGGAGGGCTTTACAGTCTTTTTTGCAGCATGGGATGGGTAAATAGGTGGCTGATGTTGCAATCACTTACCTGAGAGTCCCAAGGAACAGAATGGCCTTATTTCTGGATTGCACTGAAGGAATATTTGGAAGGACTAGAAAAGCATTGCATCATTTATTATATATGAAAGCTGCTAATATGCACTATCAAAACCAAATCTTGCATGCATACCCTTCCAAGTGCCCCAAAGCCAAAGCTCTAGTACTGCCCATTACTGGCTTTGGTCCCTCCAAAAGCTATCCCACAGCCCCATGATAGGTTATCCATAAAGGAAGGTGGCCCTAGGAAGAAAATATTGCCCACCCCAGGCTTCTATGGGTAGCAAAACAGGGGCATCTTATGAAGATAATAGGCGTAATTGCCCCATTCTCTTCTGAATGGACTCTCATGGTTTTAGCAGCTGCATTAGCATACAATGTACATTTTGTACAGCACAATGTACAATTGCAGCAAAATGTACATTTTGTACAGCCAAGGATTCAGCCCCACATTTCTGCTCCCATGATCCTCTTTCTTTCTCTCTGCAGCACCACTGCTGCTACTGCTACGGTCACCACCATTTCCCCCTGGTGTTGATACTGTGCTTGTAACAAACAGCAGTGCAACAGGCAGAAATCTCATGAGAAGACAAGCAGTACTTGTTGAATGTTGGTCTGCCATGCTGTTGCTACAAGCAAGAGCAGCTGCCAGGTGTCAGAGGGCGGGGGCAGTGAGATGGTAACTCTCATAACAATACTTTTTTTTTTTTTTTTGCAAGGAAGGAATATCTCAACAGCAGACAAAGATGCTGGGTGACTCTTTAGCTGTGTAAAATATGTGCAGCATGTCATTCCTGAACTTCGGAACTTAATTCAGGGTTTTGGTACCCCCTGAATTAGACACTCTTGGTGCTAGACAGGAAATTAGCTGGAGACAGCAATCTCTTGGAATGAAGGAAGACTAAAAATTAAAGGTATTCTGGAGTTCCCCCTTCCTCTTTCTTTCTTTTAAAGAATGCATACCTTAATCTATTCAGTGATGGCAGGAGGGATAGATTTTGACTCTACACAAATATCAGATGGTTAAAGCTCCCTGTTTTTCATAAGCAAGACATTCCAGGACTAGTAGGTACATGTTGCCCATTCTAAAGTAGAACATGCTTGGGCCAGTAACAGATAGACAAAGGATAATCAAGGCAGGGAATTTCCTCCTCTGCCTTTCATATTTTTTCAATCGTTTTGTTCAAGCATATGCATGAGGAAACCTATTGAAATGTATCTGGGTTGTTGTTATTGTTGTTTAAAAACAGACCTCATGGAAAGAGCATGTGAATGGTTCATCCATAGATCCCCCCAGTGCCACACTGCAGCTCCAGTCATTGCATGACAGAAGCAGGGGTTGTGTGGTTCAACCTCCTTGCTCAGAAGCAGAGTGATCCAGCTACAAACACATGCACACCCCATCCAAGCAAGCTGAGCAACCCAAACCACAGTGCGCCACAAGCCAAGAGCAGGTCACTGCAGTGAAGTTTAGGTAACCCAAATGGCTCACATAGGAAGCCAAGACACACAGCTACTGTGTTCCTCTCGCATCAGGACCACTGTGGCATGGAACTGGGAGCAACATAGCATGCATGGCTACACTGGTGCTCAGTCTGCCATCTGGATTCTCTGGCTTGCCAGCACATATTTGCATTACTGAAGAAGGGAGCTGTTACAGGCGGGTTACAGCCAGTTTTAGGCTTATTCATATACTTAACTAATAACCAGGGAGAAATTAATGCAAAGGCATGCCTGGGTGAACAGCAGCATTTCCATCACACCAAAGTGTCTCCATCATTTTGCTTTTTACATTTTGCTGTTGTTCTTCTTTGAGGTTTGTGTGCTCCCTTTTCTGGGGCTGGAGGACAAATCTATCCTGATTTCTTAATGAGGCCAGCAGCAGTATGACTGCCAATATACTCCCTCCCCACCAGTGTTGCATTATCACACTATAGTCTTTTGAATGTTTTCACACCTTGTGATGTTTTATAGGAAAGTGTAGTCTAGAAATGCTGGAATTATGAGCAAAAACTTAAGATGTAATTGAGGCATGCATTCATTAGTCCTTGGGAGAAGCCTCATCACTTTGCAGCAGCATGATAAAAGACATTTGTTTGTTTATATAAGAGACCCGTTGTGGTGTGGTGGTTAGAGTGTCGGGCTAGGACGTTGGAGGCCAGAGTTTAAATGCCTGCTCAACCATAAAGCTCACTGGCTGACCTTGGTCCAGTCACCATCTCTCAGCCTAAACTGACAGGGTTATTTTGAGTGTAGAATGGGAGAGAGGGGAGAACCATCATGTAAACCACTGTGAGCTCCTTGGAGGAAAGGAGTGGTAGAAATTTAGTAGTAGTAATATATGAAATCACATCCACCCAATGCATGTTGGCTGGAGCTGATGGGAGCTGGAGTCCAGCATCTGGAAGCAGGTTCCTACTGCTGATGTTCAGTGCAGATGAGTTACATTCTTAATGTCCTTCTCTTAAAAGAAACAAAACCTTTAGACAGAAACAGAGAGGTGCTTTGCAGAAACGAGAATGGAACGGGAGCCTGGAATTATGCTGGATCACTATATTATAGGTGGTAAAGGAGGATTTGGGGGGGAGGGGAAGCCCCCCCAGTGCAACTGCCCCCACTAGGCTCTTCATCTGAATTTGATTTTGCATTTATGCACTTCAGCTCTTTCATGCATTGTATAATAGAGAAATGACAAATTAATTGCATGCTTCTCCCTCCCTTTTGTGGATCTATTTATTAAAACATGTGATGCCAACTCAGCTCTTTGGAATAGATGGTGCAAAGGCACTTTAATAATTACTATCATTCTGGGAAGCCAGCCATCTCTTGGTGATTTTAGCTTTCATTTCATCTAGTCCCTTTTGCCACTGAATAATTCCTTTCCCCGAACCCCTAAGAGACCACAGTAAAAAGGATATGTGGTTCCTATTTTCTCACCAAGTATAAAATGACTTTTTAGCACATCCTTTCTGCCCTGGAAAGGCGCATGCATTGTTTAGAGAGCATCAGACCTGTGCTACATTCGGTGGAAACCATAGTAACAGTATTGCCAGAAAATGGCAAATAATTATTTGGGTCATGCTAGTACATCAAGGAACATAGTAGATGTTAGCTGTATTTCCATTAAAGTTCATTGATCTATTATATCAATAGTGTTGCCATAGAGTGGGGGAAAAGAGGACAGCGAGTTGACCTTTTTAACAATTGCAGTGCTCTGCTTTCACCCATAGTGCAACATTCACTGTCATAATAACTTTTTGCCAGTGCAGTACTTTCTTTGGGTTGCAGCCACTGGACAAGGACAGGAGGGCCACTCAGTTCTCTTGTGTCAGCAGAACACAAAGATATGCAGGCATAGTGGATTTACACAGCTATTGTTGCACCATTGCACTGGCATGCCGATGCCAAGGTAACAAGGGGCAAAACACAAACAGAGTTTGAGGGGTAGAATGTGGCAGGAGAGTGAATTGCATGGTTGCTCAGAGGCTGGCTCCACCTGGAAT